ACTATTTTTGTTGACCTTTGTCCATGGAAGGTCCCTGCAAAATTTCATTGAAATTGGTTCAGGGGTTTTGGAGAAGAAGTCGAAAATGTAAATTGTTTACGGACGCACGACGAACAACGGACGACGACGGACAAAAGGCGATGGCAATAGGTCACTTGAGACTTTGTCTCAGGTGACCTAAAAACCTTACCCTCAGACTGAGATTCTTCTGTCTATTTTACACAGCGGTGATAGATTCTCTTACTCTATTGTGATTGTACTACACGTACCTGGGCAAGGACCCTCCACAACTACCACATCATCCACAGCTATATCATTTAACAGGCTTCCGATATGGTTGGCAGTGAAACTAATAACAGTTTGTTGACCAGGTGGAAACGCAATACAGTTTTTCATCCAGTTGCCATCAAGCTGGCCGGACTGTGTCCATGTCAGATCCTGTCCGGAGAATGTTCGCATAACCCGTGTGGCTGGGGCTGATGAGGACGTATCGCGGATGTCTACAGTTAGGTCGCCCATCTGAACACCATTCATGTGTAAAGCGAACTGAAGAGTCGGGCTAGGTGTATTCAAGGTGTTGATAGCTGGGAACCACATGGTTGTCCTGTCTCCTGCAGACCCTAAAGAACCTTCCACATATGCAAAGCTACCTGTAATAAAGAATTCAAGATTCATTAACTCATTCACCCTGTTAAAGCTGCTATTTGTGTGTATCCATAGACAGGCTAAGTGGTGGAAATCAGTTGAAATTTCATAATTAATGGTTAGTTTAACACATATGTTAAGTCTGTGTGTTTGATCCATATCATAAATTTGTATGTGTTTCAGTTCAGAACATTTTGACATTCTGACATTTTTTACTCATTTACCCCTGAAATTTTATAATGAACTATTCCAAACTTTGAATTGGAAGGGTTCAAATGTGTCTTTAGGGATGAATGGGTTAATAAACTGGAATTCCAAGCTCAGATATCCGTACTCTAGACAGATGATCTAACCGACTGAGCGACTTGACTAACGGTGATTGATCCAGTTTAGGTCTGCTTCGTTCCTCCCACCCTTTGACAGAGTTTTTGACCCCAAAGACATAAGAGACCCTATACCACCTTCTGTAGGTATATTTAGTTGGGTACGTACCATGCCAAATGTTAAAAAAAGAAAAAAGGAACAATGCATGGCTAGACCAAGACTTGAACCTGGGACTTCCAAATTCTGGACAGGTGCTCTAAACAGCTGAGCTAATGGTCGACGGCAATTGACCCAGTTAAGTTCACATTTTACTATAACTACATGTATCTCTCACATTAGTTAAAGATTTTACATTCCCTAGAGATTAAGTCAGTCATTTAAATCCTCAAATATGAAACCCTCCACACTTTGATTCTCTTTTTCCACATATAATCTTAAATTATTCGATCTCAGTTTTTCAAATTTACTTTGCTCCTAATTCATGAATTTTTACATCATTCTTTTGCCCAGAACAATGGAACAATAACAAAATATTTTGTGCTGTATATCTATCAAGTAGCAATGTTTCCAAGAGAATGATAACAGACCAGTAATACTACATAGAGTCTGAAGTTTGTAAAATCCACACAATGTGTACTCAACTTTGGTAAGAATTGAAGAAAGCTAATTTTTATGTTTTGCCAAAATATAAATTGAGGTATTTTTTAATACTTACCTTTAGGGTCTCCTTGAGCATCTCCTATAGGCCCAGTTTCAATAGAGGGTGTTTGTCCTTCAGCAATTTGCCATTGAAACTTTGAACCTGTTGTACAGTTTGATCGGAATCGACACAAAAATGGTTGTTCAAATCCACAGACATCCAGCAAAGGTTCTGAAAGTATACAACAGAGAAAAGTGTTCATATAATAGGGGACAAACAATAGGTAAAACATCAGTATATGGTTTGGTTTGTTGTGGTTCGTTGACAGTTTTTGTAGAGGGTAAGACACCTAAACCACTCAGCCAGTGCAGCCCTGTCAAGGTTAATGCTAAGTATCTTTGTTTTTGCTTTACTCATATTCCATTGTTCAAGATTTGCAATGTGTTATCAATTATAAAACACACCGATTTGTCAGATTTATACATGTTTATTACTCTTTACTAATGAAAAAGAAGACGGTGAAAATAAAAGTTAATACTTTTCTGGAGTAGAAAGGTGGGTGGGGTCTCACTGCAGAGCTCCTTCTTGAGCATAAATTCTGATCCTTATCATCTGCGAGCATCATTTTAAGAAAAGTTGGTGAAAATGCAACTGCAAGTTTTACAGAAGAAGTCTGTTGAAGATTTTAACAATCTGTCCCCTTATGGCCCCACCCCTCTCAGCCCCCTGGAGTACTGTCAGACCCCTGGAGTACTGTCAGCCCCATCTCGTGGAGAGATTCTGAGCCCCTCCTCAGACGATGATTACCACCAATTTTTATCAAAATATGACTGAGTTTGTTTACAAGTAACGAACACCATAGTTCTCACGGCAACAGACAAAACACAATTGCAAAATGTTCTGCTTCAATGACTCCATTGACCTGAAAAATTCAAGTCAGCTGAAAGTCAATGAAGCAGAAAATATGTAAGTCATATAGTGATCTACACGTCATGTATTGATGATTGTGTAGTGACACCTCTACGGTGGTAGGGGGTTGCAATCCATAGCACAAACACTTTTCGCTAACATGGCTGGATCGAGTTCCATCCCCCCAATTGGACTTAACAAAAGTACTGGGTTACCTGCTCAACCACATGGGGTTTCCTCCTAATTTATGACCCCTTGCACATTTCCATCTTGGCCAACAAATATGATTGTTATAAATTGGAAAACTTGTAACATACTTATTGTAACATCATAACAATTTCATTAATCAAATAGTTACCTTTACTATCTGAAAAATAAATGGTTTGTTTAACTCAAGTTACCTCCCCTACTTGGAAATACTTTTAGGGAAAGAGTCATCTTTCCCTTTCCTCGGCATCATCTCTACGACATTTGATCAGGCAAGTGTAAAAGACAGGCAAGTGTATCTGATCTGTTAAATCTGTTCTATTTATTGTAAAATATATAAAGTTTATACATATCTGTATATATGTTCATGAGAGTATAGCTATGAGATTTGCAATATCACAGAAAAAAGATTGAGGAGCAAATACCGGTAGCAAATGTGAAAAAAATCAGATTTTTTAAGGATCCCTGTACCACTGCCAAAACGTGTAATCAACTATACAGTGTTCTGAATGTTAACTCCTTCACCCCGAAGACACATTCTAACTCTTCCAATTCAAAGGTTGGAATAGTTCATTATGAAATTTCAGAGGTGAATGAGTTAAAATTCAGTAGGGCTTAGCCAGGACTTGAACCCTGGACTTCATATTGAACGTACTATATATATTGCTCTAACCGATTGAGCTACCTAGCCTACAGAAGTGTCCTTGCCATGCTGTGTATACAAAAAACATAGCGCAGTGGGACAGGGATCCTTAATTTAAATTGGAGGAATACACACTCGATCATTATTAAAGTATATATAATAGAGCCAACGTCAGGTGTAAAGGTGTACTGTGGGTTAATCAGTGGGGCGCTTCCCTTTGAGTAGGGGGTGAAAGAAAATGGATATATTCACAACATACTCAAGCGTTACCAATAAGTGGGTTTTAAAATTTATTTGGCCGACTAGTTGTCGTTTATTAAGATATTTATAACACTCACCTGGACAGGCTTCATATTTGACTACAACATCGTCAAGTCCAAACTCTCCGTTACAACCGCTGCCATGAGTAGCCTTGAAGGACACAGTTACATTGTCATTTGGAGGAAGGTCATTGCACATTATGTGCCACACGTAACCTTGACTACCAAACACTGTTTCTGTTGAGAATCTCCTGTCCGTGTCTTCGGAGTAAATTTCAACATCGAACCGTTCCACATCTTCTCCCCTCTGTCTGAAGTAATACTGGACAGACATGTCCTCTGTTGGTGAGACATATTGATAATAATTAACAGTTTTTTTCAATGAAATTAGTTTATACTGTTTCTGTTTTTAGTATTTTCATGTTTTTTTTATATGTTAGTTTGTGAACTAGAAGATGCAGATATTTTAAAAGAAGATGAAAGTCATCAGTTCTTATGGGATCTTACCTGTATTGCTGGTTGTAATTACAGGTGTAGTGAGTTTAGCCACATCTCCAACAGCGGGCTCGGAGTATCTAGGACAGAGCTGGGCACACATGAATCGACCTGATTTAAATAAAACATCATATACATCAGCTTTTTTGTTCTATGACTGTAAACATATTCTTGTCCTATGACTGTAAACATATTCTTTGTCCTATGAATGTAAACATATTCTTTGTCCTATGACTGTAAACATATTCTTTGTCCTATGACTGTAAACATATTCTTTGTCCTATGACTGTAAACATATTTTTTGTCCTATGACTGTAAACATATTCTTTGTCCTATGACTGTAAACATATTCTTTGTCCTATGACTGTAAACATATTCTTTGTCCTATGACTGTAAACATATTCTTTGTCCTATGACTGTAAACATATTCTTTGTCCTATGACTGTAAACATATTCTTTGTCCTATGACTGTAAACATATTCTTTGTCCTATGACTGTAAACATATTCTTTGTCCTATGACTGTAAACATATTCTTTGTCCTATGACTGTAAACATATTCTTTGTCCTATGACTGTAAACATATTCTTTGTCCTATGACTGTAAACATATTCTTTGTCCTATGACTGTAAACATATTCTTTGTCCTATGACTGTAAACATATTCTTTGTCCTATGACTGTAAACATATTCTTTGTCCTATGACTGTAAACATATTCTTTGTCCTATGACTGTAAACATATTCTTTGTCCTATGACTGTAAACATATTCTTTGTCCTATGACTGTAAACATATTCTTTGTCCTATGACTGTAAACATATTCTTTGTCCTATGACTGTAAACATATTCTTTGTCCTATGACTGTAAACATATTCTTTGTCCTATGACTGTAAACATATTCTTTGTCCTATGACTGTAAACATATTCTTTGTCCTATGACTGTAAACATATTCTTTGTCCTATGACTGTAAACATATTCTTTGTCCTATGACTGTAAACATATTCTTTGTCCTATGACTGTAAACATATTCTTTGTCCTATGACTGTAAACATATTCTTTGTCCTATGACTGTAAACATATTCTTTGTCCTATGACTGTAAACATATTCTTTGTCCTATGACTGTAAACATATTCTTTGTCCTATGACTGTAAACATATTCTTTGTCCTATGACTGTAAACATATTCTTTGTCCTATGACTGTAAACATATTCTTTGTCCTATGACTGTAAACATATTCTTTGTCCTATGACTGTAAACATATTCTTTGTCCTATGACTGTAAACATATTCTTTGTCCTATGACTGTAAACATATTCTTTGTCCTATGACTGTAAACATATTCTTTGTCCTATGACTGTAAACATATTCTTTGTCCTATGACTGTAAACATATTCTTTGTCCTATGACTGTAAACATATTCTTTGTCCTATGACTGTAAACATATTCTTTGTCCTATGACTGTAAACATATTCTTTGTCCTATGACTGTAAACATATTCTTTGTCCTATGACTGTAAACATATTCTTTGTCCTATGACTGTAAACATATTCTTTGTCCTATGACTGTAAACATATTCTTTGTCCTATGACTGTAAACATATTCTTTGTCCTATGACTGTAAACATATTCTTTGTCCTATGACTGTAAACATATTCTTTGTCCTATGACTGTAAACATATTCTTTGTCCTATGACTGTAAACATATTCTTTGTCCTATGACTGTAAACATATTCTTTGTCCTATGACTGTAAACATATTCTTTGTCCTATGACTGTAAACATATTCTTTGTCCTATGACTGTAAACATATTCTTTGTCCTATGACTGTAAACATATTTTTTGTCCTATGACTGTAAACATATTCTTTGACCTATAACTGTAAACATATTCTTTGTCCTATGACTGTAAACATATTCTTTGTCCTATGGCTGTAAACATATTCTTTGACCTATGACTGTAAACATATTCTTTGACCTATGGCTGTAAACATATTCTTTGTCCTATGGCTGTAAACATATTCTTTGTCCTATGACTGTAAACATATTCTTTGACCTATGACTGTAAACATATTCTTTGTCCTATGACTGTTAACATTTTCTTTGTCCTATGACTGTAAACATCTTCTTTGTCTGTTTTTTGCTATACATTATTTAGTTCGTTATCTAGTTTAATGTACATTTACTGTAAATTTGTTTCCATTATACATTCCAGTTGCTTTTAATCGTAGCTCTTGGTCTAATTTATTTTACTGAAAACTTGTTTTTAAAGTTTACATTATTGGTAAAATATAAATTATCAGACCGTACTAGAGTAAAATTTGAAAATTAAATATCTAAAATTCCAAAACAAAATAAAAATGATTGGACCAAGAGTTACGATTCCTGCAGCTTAACTAGTAAATACATCAAGTTGAAGCATTTACCTGAATAATCTTTGAAGGTGTGATCATAACTAGATCCACAATAGGACACCCTGTTCCATCTAAACTGATTTTTAGATTCCTCTTCGTATTCGCAGATATCATAAGGCTCAAAACTACAGGATGCGTAATCTGAAATGAAGTAAGTCCTATTATAGTTCAACATGCCCTAAAGCTAGTACACTTACTTCACTGAATTTTATTTTGTTTTATGCCATGTTTGCACAAACAATCACAACAATAGATGTTTATCACTAGATTTTTTCAATATGTGTGCGGATTTGCACGGGGGGGCAAAATAAATAAATAAATGGGGTGTTTTTGTTTTGGGTCACCAGTTTTGCTAATGTAAAGTTGTAATTGTCAGCTTCTAGACATTGCGACATTCTTTTATACCATTAAACATGCCAAAATCATTTTTACCTCTGTAAGGTATGTATCTATGGATCTAGAAAGTTGTCACTGGTGTTGAACTTCAAATAATAAAGTTATTAGCTAAAATGTTTAGTAAAAGCATAAAGTAAATGATTTAAGTTGTACTATTGACTTGAAAAACATTGATAGTTATAATGGGATAATTTATGGTTATTCAATATGTCATTTCTGAGCTACTTTTTCTCTCCTGATCCGACTTGGTTTCAGATACGCATGACATGTAATAGGGGTGAATGTACACAGAAATTCTGAGAATTGAACAAATGCAATAAAACTGGTGTGCAGTTCCAAACTGCATGTCTTACAACAGGGTACTAGTCAGTAGATATCACATTCTTGAAGAATATATTGAACTACAGCCAGTTTTGTCCAAGGTTTACCAGTGTTTGACTTCAACGATGTTGGGTTGATACTTATTTACTTTAACATTAGAAGTATACATGCAGCCTTAACTCATTCACCCCTGAAAACACATTTAAACTCTTCCAATTCAAAGGTTGGAATAGTTCATTATGAAATTTCAGGGGTGAATGAGTTAATATACCATGTGACTGCAAAATCACGTGACTCTTATTCCAGAAATTTGTATCCTGAAAACGACCTATTCATTGAACAGCTTACGTGGGCATCTTTCATAATCCAAAAGAATATCATCCACCGTGAGGTCCATGGTATACTCCAGGCCGTGCCAACTTCTAAACTCAATCCAGGCAGCGGTCTTATCTGTTGTTATTGGTACACATACATTGCGCCATTCGTTGTTAGTCGCAAAGTGTGAAGAAAACAGCTCACCCTGTCCTGGTAAACCGACCTGGAAACAACAAATAAAATATTTTAAAGTCCATTTTTTTTTATTTAAACCATGAATGAACAAGACTTTACTTTTGTCTCGATGTTTGTAGATTTTTTCGTAAGGTTTACTAAATATTACAAATATTGACATACTGTCTAACACGAAATGTTCGTTGCGCATAAACATTCGTGGTTTTTGTGATTGGTATTGAACCACGAATAAAAATACAACAAATTTGAACGATACATGTGTCTACAGTTTGTTAATATAGAAGATCCACGGAAGTTTGTACCACGAAATGAACTAAATAGCATCAAACCACAAATGAAAGTACGTACCCACAAACATTTCGTGTTATAGAGTATATTGAATAAAAAATGTAGAAAAGCTTGGATTTCCTGAAGGTGGTTTTTTAATATTGCTCTTTTATTTTACTTCCCAAAATAGCACATAACATAAACTGATACTGAGACAGGTTATAATATCCAAAGTATGTTATTTCAAGATCTGTTTATACGTTCGCAACAAGTTTTCCTAAATGTAAGGTGTGGAATCGTACCTCAATGCACTGTTGGTGTCAAATGACATGTATGCTTGACCATGTATACATGTATATCCCTGAATACCATAGAGCACCAATATCTCTGATGGTAGGCTAGGCCGAATGATAACTTTTGTTTCATTTTTTGTGATTTCATGTTATAGTTAACGCTGCTGTATAAATTATAATTTCTTTCTTCTGATTTACTTGCAGAAATTAATATTCCATTAAGTTTTTATTACACTTATATGTACCAAGGAAAAGTATACCCACTACAAGTTTCTGCCCAGGAAACCGATAACTATTTAACAAAACAAAAAAATCTCACTCCCCTGTGTTGATGTGGAAAACAACAAACTTTGGTAAATACCAATTCAATTTCATATTCTGTTTATAATATATGTCATACAAACCCTGCTGAGTGTGGGTTATAGCTACGTACCACTAATTTGCTTATGCTGAGTGTGGGTAATAGCTACGTACCACTAATTTGCTTCTGCTGAGTGTGGGTTATACTAATTTAATTTGCTTCTGCTGAGTGTGGGTTATAGCTACGTACCACTAATTTGCTCGTCATGTTCCCGTTGTAATAACCACTTTTCCCAAAGAACCGGAAGTGTAGGGACATGTCATGTGTCAGATTTACTGGTCCCACAGAAAAGGCACTGTGGTCTAGTTCCTCTCCATCTGAGGCATCAGCAAACATTCCTAAACCTGAATGAAAATCATTATCATTGCAGTAAACAAGCAATGTTTTATTAAAGTCTGCTCACTTCACTTTTACTTAAACATTTGTGGTATATAATCTGATCATTTTAACATTTGTGGTATATAATCTGATCATTTAAACATTTGTGGTATAAAATCTTATCATTTAAATATTTGTGGTATATAATCTGATCATTTAAACATTTGTGGTATATAATCTGAACAAGCTGAGATGTCATTGTCATATATGAAATATTTCAGCAATTTTGATCATTTCCAAATAATATTATGATATATTGTATGTTTGTATGTATTAATGCTCTTATCCTCTACTAGTATATTTTCTATATTACAGTACCCATCCCTCTGCTAAAGTTCTAATTATCATGTTATATTTCATTACTTCAACCTTGAGCTTGAGCATGAGAACGGTTTCATATATATGGGCCCTGACGTTCTAAAAACGGTAAGACCGAGTCAATTGTGTCTTTTCGTATTGCAGAGTTATCTGCTCTTGTGAGCGGGTATTGATTGTTACGTCATTAGTTTGTGTGAGAAAATTACGTCGTTTTCTCAAAAAACTATGACGTTACTCTCACAAACAAATCATGTAACAATCAATACCTGCTCACAAGAGCAGATAACTCTGCACTACGAAAAGACGGAACATCACAAATCACTGACAACCATGTGAATATGATCCAACCAATAGGATGAAGGAAACATGTCTGTCATCTAAATTTCAAAACTCCAGTGTTCCATTCTCTGCTATAGTATATATTGTTTATTAACCCCACTCCCACTATATCGTAGTCATTCTATATTCCAATGTCTTGTCCTCTCTGTTTAAGCATCCCTTTTATTTCTGTAACTGTAAGATTCCTAATATTGTATGATTACATTTACCAAAATAAAATCAGTGGTTATATTCTGTACTACTTTCAATTTGTCATAAACTGAAATGATTAAGGCCAATCAATGACTAACCTTCGAACCCTTGTTCCATTCTCCATTTGTAGGGTTTAACACTGGATGCTGTACTAGAGTCCCAGTAACAGGGTGGTACTTCTACATCAAACGGACATTGAGGGTCCGAGTCAAAGTCACAAGGCGATGCCGGAAACACTCCTATCAAATACATGCAATACAAACATTGTACAATACATTGTAGCTCAATCTGTTTATTGTCGGAGCAATTGAATAAAAAGAAAAAAAACAACCTTTATTTTCAACATAGCAAATTAATGTCTTAAAAGAGTGAAACTTACTCATTCACGCCTGAAATTTCATAATGAACTACTTCAACCTTTGAATTGGAAGAATTCAAATGTGTCTTCAGGGGTGAATGAGTTAAACTCTACAACACTATCGACCCAATTTTGATTTTCCCATCTCTTAATTAACTTACCAGGACATTCATCGCCGTATATTTCAACGTCATCCAACTGTAGTGTTGCGCTATAGTAATAATTATAATCCATTTCTCCTGCTGTAAATATGAATTCTGCACTTGTGTTGGTTACTGGTGGAAGATTCACACAAACAGACTTCCAACTTCCGTATAATTCGGGGTCGGAACTCCACGAGACAGAAGAACCAACTTTCAAACCAAGAGTGCCGGCTGTTCGGTTGCGTAATAGGTACCGAAATGAAATGCTACTGCTGGCCACTGTGGTAAATTCTGGGGACAGCAGTGAGTAGCTCTCACCCTCCCGGGTACTGTAGGAATATAGGCCAACCATACCTGGCCAAAACAAAAGTCAAAATGTATTATTTTATAGGTCAAGTTGTCAAAACTGTTTTTTGTAAATCAATTTATTCACTTACATTTTTAACAAGAGGGGTTTTAGAGTCACCTGAGTCGCGACACAATTGATATTTATGCATGACACGGAAATTCGTGAAGCGTTCCATATTTGTTTTATTTATGAGGCTAACAACTTAACAACTCCTTAATTTAAATAATTAATTATCATGAATTTGAATGTACATTATATATAACCATTCTCTATACATTGTATGTTGTATCATGTACTGATAGGCCTATATGGCCTAAAGTTTGAATATAAATCTTGAATCTTACATACAAAATGTAGTTGTTGTAATGTGACATGGGAAAAATTGCAATTATAAACTTAAGCAATTTAAGGTTAAGCGTAAGGGTACCACTTTATCAGTTATGATTGTAAAGAAGAGTTCCACTAATTTTTTTTTTTCAACTTAGAGTATTCTAATCTAATATCTACTTTTCTTATATTTGTTGCGAAAAAAGACGTCACGCGCTATGACCCTCTTTTTTATTTTCAAAAGAGGGTCATCACCCTTTTTCAGTATATCTGGGGTTGGCAGGTATGATTCTCCCTTCTATAAAGAATATGAAGCAACCAAAAGAAGTTTTTCTGATTTAGAGTAACCTCCCCTATCCAGTTATGTCTCTATTAATTTTAATTGTTTTTGCTAACTTGAAGCTCATAAGTTGCCTTCATTTCACAACAAGCTGCCCATTTTTATCATTTCTAGCCCTGTGGACTGTTGTCCTTTTCTTTCTATTGAACCTTGATATATTTGGGAAGGATTCTTTTATTTTTAGTCGCCATTTGGACAACAGACTATTTACAAACAAAATACAAAAACAAAACAGTGACGTGACGCTTCATATCATGATATGACCAGATATTTATTTCATTCGAATCAAAACCACCAATCTATCGACATTTCTCATAAACACATGAGATCAGCCTTTGACATAGTTACAACACTATACTCCAATTGGAAGTCACCACATGGGAATTGAGTTTGGTGGACCACACTGCCTGTTAGCTTGACAGCTAGGTTTTAAAGATCTAGAGGTTAGAAAGCAAATGTTTTGTTTGTCCGCTAGCAAATCTTCAAGTACATAACAATTTAAAATGCATGTACCCTTATTTGATGAAGGGAACCAGTCTCACAGCTCATTTGTTTATAATTGCTGGGGAGGTTTTAGGAAGAGCATTTAATTGATCTGTTGGAAATTAATATGTTCACCATTGCTTTATCTAATATCCAATAATACATGGTTATCAACCAATGAAAAGTGTTGTTATGGTAGAACTACGGCAACTTTACTGTTTCGGACAAGTTATGAAATTTTGTTCCCATTTCAGATCAAAGTGAATATACCTGTAAGACCTCCATTAATTTTCCCTTGCTTAGACTTAAATTTGCAGCAGCCTGAAAAACTTTTATATAAAAAAAACTGTTTAGATTTATCTCCCTTGATCTCCACTGACCATACTGACCTGTGTAAAAATGCTGCCATGGATAGGTGACGTTGTACCCACATGACTCAGTAGTGTTGAAATCACAATCAACCGTGGCATAACCTGAAAAAGGCAAAGTAAGTGTCATTTTTATTGTGTTGTACCACGGCCTTCTTGGGGTCCAATTTAGGGCTGAAATCGGGCCCTTTTCTCAAAAGAAATGCATGTTGCTATTATTTCCCAAAATGTAAGATTATACTTTGCCAAAAAATTGATATTTAGCATAATTCCGAAAAATTTCACAGTTTTAAATGTTTTATACGCCTATATAACATTGTAAAGTATGAATCATTTATTCTTACGATTTTTACTATATGATTGACAAAACTGTACAAAAATTGCTTGAAATCCATTCATTACAATTTAAATACTGTAGTTTACAACTCTGTCTATTGGTTTAACAGTAGTGTTCATAATTTATTTGGGTATTCAGTCCCATAAAATTATAAACTGATCAGATTTATCTCCCTTGATTTATTGCATCATGCAGTTTAAATTTACTACTTCCAATTACAAACCAATTATTGATTATGATTTGAAATTGTTTGCCCATTACTACTGAATATACATGTATGTCTCCCTTCGCTGAAAAGGATGATGTACAGTTAAACACAAAAAAATAATTAAATACGAAGAACTGGCACATGAATATGATATCATGTGACCATTGCTAGCATCACTTGATTTATTGAGGCCAAAGGTAAGAACCTTTTTTCAATTTTGACCCCACCTTATGTTGGTTATAAACGGCCTCTTTCGATTCACGATAGTTCTGTCCTACTTACCGCAGGTTAGCACCACTGTAGAGTAGCAGTACCGGTTATAGGAAAAATAACAGTCGTCTAGTCTGTCAGTGTAGCAGCTCATGGAGACGGTATTCTGGGCATCATACCTGTCATACCAGGTCCTAGCCTGTGAACCAAAACTGAAAAAAGGAAAACATTTAGCAATATTTTTTATGTATTTATTTGGTGATCAAATTATAAAAAAACAAGCCAATAGGGTTGAAAGACTTTACAGATTATATTGTATCATACATATTTCAGAACTACTTTTTACTGCAGATCTCATTTCAATATATTTACCATCGTATGTCATTGTCACTATATAACCCTACCAAATTCAGTTGGTATTCATATAGGCTATGAATGTAATAGACCAATCGTTGACATCATCATCATTATGACGTCATAATTGTTACATTGGATACCACTGACCCTCCCAGGGCGATTGCAGCCTTCTATTAATTGAACATGCATACTTGATACATACATTAATGATTATTTGAAATAAATGCTGAATAATAATAATAAGAGTAATTGAATTTTCTATGAGATGAACAAATTCCAAAAAATGGTAATTATAGGTATTGAATTGCTTTCAGTTGGCATTCATTGGCAATATACAAAGGCAAATCCATTTAATTTGCCTTTGTTCAGTTGGCATTCATGTTGCCTACAAATGCCAACTGAAAGCAGTTCAACGCTATCGTCACTATTTCTGCAGAGGTGGTTAAGATGAAATTGAGATTTGTCACAGGAAACCTCCATGTTACTAGCTATAGGAATCACTTATGTTTGTAGGTATATCATAATTGGTTAATTTCATGGGTAATCTTCATCCATGAATTCATAGGTCCACGAAGTATACAACAGTTTGACATAAAGAAATTCTCTGTTTGTGTGGTTACTCGTAATCCACCAATTCTTCTACCCATGAAATGGATTTGTTTGGGGGGAAAGCACAAAGTGTGATCCCCACGTAAACATTTGATTTCACAGTGTATGACGTTCCTGGTGGTGCCACGAATAGGGTTGCCTTATTTCATTGGTCGGTCCATCTGTTCAGTGCCCCAAAACAATTACATTATTAACCCTTTCAACACCGTAGACCATAATGGACTCATCCATATCAATGCATGGTAGAGTTTACTTAAGTTACTTAGGGGTAAAGTTTGAGTTTGATCAGCCCAAGGAAACTCAAGTTATCGCACGAAAACAGATTTTCTATTCATAGTAACACTGACCTTGACCTTTGACCTTCGGACCTGAAAAGCAATCCCACGCAAGCACTTTTGGTAAGGAAACACTGTATGAAGTTTGAGTTTGATCGGCCCAAGGAAACTCAAGTTATTGCACGAAAACCTCTATGCAGGCGACGCCGCCGAAATACAATACGAAGGTGTCACCAGCTTTTCGCAGGCGACACAAAAACATAAATACATGATATAGGTGTCAACCTCTGAAACCTCCAATGAGGGAGATCTCCCTCGTTCCACATTTCCAATGAGGCAGAAAGTGTGTGAAATGCAATTGAAACTGCTTTGCTCAATTTATCTTTCCCTTTTTATGTATCAAAATAACTCTAAAAAACATTCACTGGTTTAAACACACCTGTTATAATCATTACACACACTGCAGTAACTAGGAGATCATTTGACCACAGAGTATAGATTTTGAGTTTGTGTGAGTTTGGACTTGAATGAAGGAGTTTCCAGGGAGATTGGTAAATTATCGTCCAAATGTAGGAGTCTCCCTCCTAATGAGGGAGGTTAAATAGACAGCTATGACATGAGCACATGATGTAGCTTATTACATTACAGTTATCTGTATAATTAAAACAAATGTCATTGAAAAAACCCAAAATTGCAACAAGACTTGAGACATTTATCCAATGTAATATTTACAATAGGCATGCACAGATATAATTACTGATACAGTAGAAGATCCAAATTTTACCAGGATTCACAGATATAATTACTGATCCAAACTTTACCAGGATTCACAGAGATAATTAAGGGAACTTTTGTTTTAATCCTTGGCAGGAGGAGCACTTTGGAGGACGAAGGGCATGGGCTTGGGAATACTTGGCTTGGAAGAGGGTTTGCAGGCTTGGGATTACCAATTTAAAGCACAAAAGTGATGTCCTTTAGGCCAGCAAATTATTGTAGAACTGTATGTTAAGGTACTCTGATGGTCCTTCAGGCCATATATAGATTTATGTTGAAATACTGTAAGCTGCTTGTTTGTGGCACCATAAGTAAACACACAAAGATTTGCTGAATGAAAATGGACATATATTTGATTTGATGTTTATTAGGAATGTGCTCAAGAATACTTATTTTGTTTAAAAGTATTGTTTAAAAGTATAAGTCTATAAGTATATAAAATTACTCATAAGGCCACTACTTGACAGAGTCTTACATTTCATTCATAGCTAGCAAAAGAATTCCCTTCAGAGAGTCAATAGCTGATAAACTTACTCAAAGCCCATCGCCTGACAGAGCAGATCGGTAGTTGGTGCGTATATATAGGAACATACGTAATACCGGCTGCCATTGTTGATCACCACAACACGTCCATTGGCATCCTGTTCAACACCAATATCTGTAACAGAAAAATTTCAGTCCCAGACAATTATTGGAACTAAAAATAACAGCAAGTCATGGGATGATCATTTGCACCAATTTTGAAATTCTCGATTGATACTCCATGGGTTGTGGCTCACATACACTCTCTGCATCCTTGAAATATGTCATAGCAAAATTGAAGGCATGTGGCAGGCTATTTGATTGGTGACAAACCTGTTGACCAATCACTAGGCTTATACCTGTCCTTTGAAGATTACAGAGGATTGACACCAACTTCAAAGTAGGTCAATGTTACAATTACTTGGCCCTAAGATTATTTTGATGTAAACTATTCTTCTTATATCATCCCCAAGGTGGACCACGGACACTGAGTCTTCAATTTTGTAGAGACATATTTCAGGGGTAAAGAGAACATGAGTGAGCGTAACCCCTGGAGTATCCATCATGCAATTTTGATAAACATTTATTTATAAGAATAGCTTAAAAACAAAGTCTGCCTCTATTTTCATATTATTTTGTTTTCATTGAGAGCCACCTTCAAATTCACTGTTACATCTAATCCACTTAATCCTGGTGATTCCTTGATAAAATATTAACATATTTTTTTTTGCCCAATTTCTCATATTTGGCCTTTACCCCAGAGTCTGCTTTATAAAAGAACTGCATGCATGATTTATAAAACTTTAAATCCACTTTGTTCAAGGATATTCTTTCTATGTTAAAGGACATTAAACCCCCGCCCCCTGCTTCTTAGCCCCTAGAATCCTTTATCTAAATAACATTGAATTCTCTCGACACATTTAGACACTCTGTGCAACCCTTAATTGAAAATCCCTTCACTTATACTAAGAAGTAAAAGAAAAGTAGAGGAAACAGGAATATCTTAAACTCTTCTACTTATTGCTTACCAATACATACATTGTATCTTATTCGATAAACTTGGATTTATTTACTTAGAAAGCCCCAGAATTTGATTTTCAAACTCAGATGATGGAATTTGAATATACACACTTACTTAGTTTTGGCATAGAAGTTGTGCTAGGGGAAAACCAATGAGTTGTAAATGAACTTGAATTAGAAGTTCTTGGAGTTCCCATGGTTGTTGTCATATGTGACCCTGGTTCTGATGATGGCTCAGGTTCTGGTTCTGATGATGGCTCAGGTTCTGGTTCTGATGACGGCTCAGGTTCTGATGATGGCTCAGGTTCTGATGATGGCTCAGGTTCTGATGTTGGCTCTGGATTTGACCCAGGTGTTGTAGATGGCCATGAGGTACCACTAGGTGTCGGCGATGAGGTACCACTAGGTGTCGGCCATGAGGTACCACCAGGTGATGGCCATGAGGTACCACTAGGTGTCGGCCATGAGGTACCATTAGGTGTCCGCCATGAGGTACCACTAGGTGTCGGCCATGAGGTACCACTAGGTGTCGGCCTTGAGGTTCCATTACCTGGAAATATACCCGAACATATCAGGGAATGTTCTAACAATGTCTACATGCTTGCTATTATCTATAAAATCCTGTACAACTCTTTAAATTCTGAGCTAAGAATCTTTGCTGGGCACTTACACAACTTATTCATAGCTAATCTTACTTAAATCATTCAACCTTGAAATTTCATAATGAACTTTTCCAACCTTTGAATTGGAAGAGTTCAAATGTGTCTTCAGGGATGAATGAGTTAATACCATAGTTGAATGAACTACATCAATGATAAGACTGTCGCGTACATTATATAAAAAACATGTACATCCTAATACACAGGCATATTGTATCTTAATAGAGAAATAAAATACAGTAACTGTTGTATTGTAATGGTTTTAACTCATTCACCCCTGAAATTTTGATAGTGAACTATTCTCACCTTTGAATTGGAAGAGTTCAAATCTGTCGACAAATATTTCGGAATATTTTCGACATTGTTTTCAATATCTTAACCTTTAGTACTACCAAAAATTCTATAAATAGACAAAATGGTCATATAGTGGAGCTAACTTTGCTTCCTCATTGCAGTTACTAAATTTTGAAATCGATGCTTCTTTACTTTGCATTTCTATGTATTAATATATTTTCCAATGTTTATTTTTCAAAAATCAACTAATTAACAACGCATCAATTACCATTAATGACTGATATGAATGAGTAATTTCCTAGTTTGGAATTCTCTTTAAAAAAGATGCATCATAAAAAGATAGCTTTTATCCTTAATATAAAGGCATACGATCACCTACCTTGACAGGATCCTTCGGTCAAGACGACGTCGTCCAAGGCTATCATTGCCAGATATGTAGTAGCATTGAACGTAAGCTCCACATAGTACCCGTAGTACCGTCCAAACTCAACTTGATGTTCAGTCCAAGTCTTACTTTCTCCGTACTCATGGAAACTTTCATATATGGACATAGATTGATAGTTTAGTCGTGCTGTCACCTAGAAATGATAAATTGTTTAATTTGTTAAATTTTCTTGGAGCATATCATGATAAATTAGTCACTTTATAGCGATATATGTTACATCAAGTCTCTGTTCAGCCAAGGAATCAGGGGGAAAATACTGACTTACTGGAAAGCTTACCAGGTATTTTTCTTGTGATGCAGTATAACCCCGCAATGCTCTGTCTATAGTTAAACGACATTGAATGTGGTCAGTTGGTGGGCAGGTGCCCAGCTGACGCATATTACACCTCTATGTAATGATAAACTGAAATCATTTTAGATACATACTGTATCTTATATATGTAAAGTGTTGTCCAGACAATGGGATTCTTTTTTTTTATAAAATGGTTCATAACTCAGCAAAGAAAACCCTATTAGAATGAAAAATATAATGCATGCAGTGAATCCAAAATGGAAGGAATCAGTTGTGAAATTTAAAATGTATTTAATAAAGGGACATAACCCTGCTGAGTTATGTCAAAATGGAATTCAAGTTGTGAAATAAACGGTACAGATCTCCTAAGATAACAAACATATACACAAAGCCTTTTTAAATCTCTCTGGTTATAATTAATAAGAGAATATCTTTGTTATATCTTTAAAAAGGCAAAGTAAAATCACAAGCAAATTATCCCCAACCTCCAAACAAACATCGGTATCAAAAAAACAACAAAGGGCCATATTTCTGTATATATATATTGGGGCACAAATTCCGAAACAAAATATGGAGGTTGTATGTGACAATGTATTTGTGTACCCAGGACAACAAAAATAACATCCCTCTGTGAATATACCAAAGTGCAAGACCTGAATATATTGTGCGAGTCTCTGCCATTCCCTTCATGCTAACATCGGTACCAAATAAACACATTTTTTTTAAAACTCTCCCAGTAGGTAATATCCAAATTAGTTCTAAATCTGGAATATGGGCTTTCCCTCTACTACAATGTGTCCAGTGCCTGTGTGAGAAAATCTGAACTGAGGAAATTGTTAAAAAGTGAGAGAAATCAGTGTTGTTGAGTGGCGCAGTGGATAACACGATCACTTTGCACCAAGGCGGACAGGATTAATTTTCCAATTGGACATGAGAAGGTATCGGGTCACCTGCCAGACCACGTTGGTTTACTCCAGGTACTGACACAATTTCCTCCCTCTTTAAGACCCCCACACTATCATACAGGCCAACAAGAGTGATGAATATAAGTGGAAATAACTTTTTTCATAATTGTTGTAAAATAAATGAAGTTTGTATATTTTTTAATGCGTGTATATACTGTACCTGAATACGAGATGTGGAATAGCTGTAGGGGTGTATATGTGCCAAGCGAAAGCTTAAGCACTTGATGCTGCTAAATCCTTTGAAGTATTCCGTAATGCTTCTCAATGATATGTTTTGGGAAAAACTTTCAATACATCCAGCAACCATAAATTTCCCTGAAATTAAAAAAAATTCAGATTCAGCACATTAAAGGAACAGATTCAGTAGCTGGAATTAATAAAATAATTTTTTAAATTAACTGTTTAAGATAAATTCAAGTGTAATTGGAAGGAAGTAGTGAAATATTGGGGCTGAAATCAACAATTACTGGGACTTCCTAGTCGGAACTTCAATCTACAATAGAACTAAAGGGAAATTTCCTCTAGCTGAAGCTGGGACTGCAACTATGCACAATGCATATCCTTTACTCTATTCCCTCTTTTTCAAGTGTTCACCCTGAAGACAACCATAATCCTGGTCATGGCACCAACATTCAATAGGAAGGAAGTAGTGAAAATTAGCATATGTGCCTGCTGGGACTCACACCCACAGGTTCAAACTTTCTAGTCAGCCGTTGTACCGTTGAGCTAAAGGGAAATTTCCTCTAGCTGAAGCTAGTATAAGGTAACTTTGACCCATTATATATGTACCATACAAATCCTTCACACATGCTTCTCCTACCCTTCACAGGTGTGTGTCCCTAATTTAAGACTGAACTGATCAAATCCTCGGGTAAGACAATTAAGAATATCATCCCTCGGGTTGCAGCTCTGTCACACCCTGAAGAATGGGGAAGATTATATTAATCCTTACGTAAAGATATTGTTTATGGACATCTGGACCAATTAAAGGCACACTGTCTGATCTATCAATAGCTGGAGTAACTAAAACACTAATCCACAGTCAGACTTATACAATCCCTGCACCACCCACATCAAAATATCTGGAAAGGGGAGTAACTCCTGTAAAACTGTTGAACTAAAAACATGGATGGCAAACACACAACTATACTGAAGGTAACTGATTATTTTAATCAGAAAAATTAAAATCGGCCCTTAAAATAGCAATTGGTCTTGCGCTATTTTGGGTAGCCCTTATCATCATTATTCTACAGTCTTTTTTTAACCCATTCACCCCTAAGTCCTTTTGAAACCGTCCAAATCAAAGACTGGGTCAGTCCAGTTTAACTATGCAGGGGTGAATGAGAAATTAATCAGAAGTTATTCTAACTTTTTCAACATATTTGACCCCTGTGACCTTGAAAGTATGTCAAGGTGTATTTTAATGGCAGCCCTAGGCCTGTATCCCAGCAATCCACTTTTTCAAAGATGTTATTTGAAATCTGTAACATATTTGACACCTGTTACATTGAATGTAGGTCAAGGTCGTTCATTTGAATACAGTTGGTAGCCCTCTACTCCAGCAAGCTACTGGCAAAATACCTTGACTCCAATTTTTTTAATTCTTGAGAAGAAGTCAAAAATGCAAAATGTTACAAACGGCCGATAATGCACAACATATGACAATGAACAAAAATAGAAGGTATAAGGTTAAGTTGAACTAAAAGCGTTTTTTCTGGAATTATAAAGGTTCAACTGTATTGTCTCATTGTTTTACCTTGATCAGGAGACTCCACGTCCGTGATATTCATGTCTAAATAAGAAATCCAAGGAACTTGTTTCCACTGTGAAGTGGAACGTTCTGAATTTATTGTGTAGAAGCATTTTCTTGGAGTATTAAAACCGCATGTAATGCTTCGCACTGAAAAAGAACATTTCATTGGTAGTGTACTAACTAAATAGGTACATTGTATACATCCTTTTTTGTTGTATATTGTTTACATACATTGTATACATCCTTTTTTATTGTATATTGTTTACATACATTGTATAACGAGAAATTTACAGTGTAGTTTAATTTCCCCCTTTTTTTACCCTCTGTGTACGAGTGTGAATTTATCCTTACAGCGAAAAAATAAGTACACAACATTATATACGTAATAACTAAATGTGAAGGGCAAACAATTGACAAGGCGAACACTTCCTGGTATACTGAGAACATTTTACATTTTTTAATGTCAATTTTTAAATATTTTCTTTAGCCAAAAGACTTTTTTCTCCTCAAAGACGAAAGATAAGTCATCCTTACCACAATCTTCTTCATCATCCCCATCTGGACAGGCTATCAACCCGTCACAGACCATTCTATTACTAATACATAAGTTAGTTCCTCTACAGTGGTATTCCTCCTCATTACAGGCTGTAACACAAGGAGAAACATAGGAATATTTACATATCAATTAATTCTGTGTATCATTTCAATAGTTCTGCAATGGATTGTATCAAATTGTACTCTCATGTGTGTTAATGCTAACTGTGAGCTTTGGTTTAGTTCTGGTTTTTATTTTATTTGAATCCTTTTGACAACTAAGGTCATTAAAGGATGTAGTGAGCTTAGGTGTTAATAAAAACATCTCTTTCAGTGTAGGTCTTTTTCTTAATCTGTCATTGCTGACTGTGACAGCTTTGTTGTTTATTGTACTTGCCCATGTCTCCCTATAAATCTGTTTCTGCCAACAGTGAGCTTTGGTGTTTAATGTACCAGCCCATGTCTCCCTATAAATCTGTTTCTGCCAACAGTGAGCTTTGGTGTTTAATGTACTTGCCCATGTATCCCTATAAATCTGTTTCTGCCAACCGTGAGCTTTGGTGTTTAATGTACTTGCCCATGTCTCCCTATAAATCTGTTTCTGCCAACAGTGAGCTTTGGTGTTTAATGTACATGCCCATGTCTCCCTATTAATCTGTTTCTGCCAACCGTGAGCTTTGTTGTTTATTGTACTTGCCCATGTCTCCCAATAAATCTGTTTCTGCCAACAGTGAGCTTTGGTGTTTATTGTACTTGCCCATGTCTCCCTATAAATCTGTTTCTGCCAATAGTGAGCTTTGGTGTTTAATGTACATGCCCATGTCTCCCTATTAATCTGTTTCTGCCAACAGTGAGCCTTGGTGTTTAATGTACATGCCCATGTCTCCCTATTAATCTGTTTCTGCCAACAGTGAGCTTTGGTGTTTGATGTACTTGCCCATGTCTCCCTGTTAATCTGTTTCTGTCAACCGTGAGCTTTGGTGTTTAATGTACTTGCCCATGTCTCCCTATTAATCTGTATCTGCCAACAGTGAGCTTTGGTGTTTAATGTACATGCCCATGTCTCCTTATTAATCTGTTTCTACCAACCGTGAGCTTTGGTGTTTAATGTACTTGCCCATGTCTCCCTATTAATTTGTTTCTGCCAACCGTGAGCTTTGGTGTTTAATGTACATGCCCAAGTCTCCCTATTAATCTGTTTCTGCCAACCGTGAGCTTTGGTGTTTAATGTACATGCCCATGTCTCTCTATTAATCTGTTTCTGCCGACAGTGAGCTTTGGTGTGTATTATACTTGCCCATGTCTCTCTTTAAATCTGTTGTTGGTGACAGTGAATTTTGGTGTTTATTGTACTTACCCATGTCACATTTTCCTGGAGTTGCCATAATGTCGTCTATAAAAAGATATCCATGCTCTATTTTGACAGAGCTATTTTTTTTCACTGGTACGAAATCAAGACTATAGACATCCGCAGGTATTTCAACTGCAATTCTTGTCCAATAATATAAATGTTCAATTGGCAAATCCTCTAAGGTCATTCCTATGTTGGTTTTAAGTGCCAAAAAGACATTTTCACCTACAAACAATTAAGACAACAAAAATGAAAGGAAATTAAAATATTTTATAGGTTTATTAGTCATTCATCCCTGAAATTTCATATGAACTATTCCAACCTTTGAATTGGAAGAGTTCAAATGTGTCTTTAGGGCTGAATGTTACATTTATAAATTATCATATTTATATATACCTATGGACTGCAAAAAGTCTTCTTTTTTTTAGTTATCCTTGTTTTTTTTGCAGATATGCTTAATTGTTCAATTTTGCGAAATTAATTTCTTCTGCTGATTTTGATGTACAAAATTGTAAAAAATACAACAATGGCTGGTCAGCAAAGGCCTCGATCCGCGACGTACTTGACCATAACCCCCTCCCAAAATGGTCTATTTTTAGCAACAGCAACCTTGATCTTAAAACCATTTGAAACCCTTATTGCACATCTACAGTGTATATCCATGTCAAATTACAAAAACATTTCTTCAGCTTGAGGACCGTTTATATATACGTCCAAGACCTACTTTTAGTAACAGTGACCTTTACCTTAGAAATGTTCGTAAAACCTTCTTGCATATCTACAAATCACAGTGTATCACCGTGTCCAGTTTCAAATAGATTAGACTTTTCAGTTCCAATATAAAATATACTAAAACAACCCTTTGTATTCTTCACATCGTCATGAAATATGAAAAACTGAAAAAAAGCGAGCAATTTCCGCCATACTGCTGTAGTTTTACTTATTAATATATAAATACTATTATCACATAATGAACTGTGTTATCCAGTGAATATACCCATGTCATATTTCGTTGCGTATTAACCAATGTAATATGACCTATCAGCCCTGTGATTGGTTGTAAGTTTCAATTGTTCAATTGTGACATTACGCCTAGGACAGGTACATGACGTCACAGACTTATGCACTCAAGTCAAAATGGCTGCATTTTACATTTTAAAATTGCATGAAAGTTGTCGTTTTACACGCTTAATCGAAAAATCTGAGCCTCGTTTCATCTATTTCATATGAAATGGAAACTCATGTAAGATTCTATGTTTATATTTCAATGATATTGCATTTTTTTCCGAAATACCAAGACTTAAATGTGTGTATTTAGTTGCTTAAAGTGATTAAGTCATGGTATGAACTTTTCCTAAAATAATTTAACAGTGAAATAATCATGGAAAAAAAATAAACGAAATCATTCAAAATTAGAATAAAAACAACTTGAAAGTCATTGATAGTAGTTACTTGAATTGCTTGAATTGTTTGAGGAACTGTTGCCTGGAATAGAGACGTAGGCTGTGATGTAAAACAGCAGACAGGAGGATTCCGTCACATTCACAGTTGGACTCTTCAGTATAAAATCTTCATTGGGGTGTGATAAATTCATAAAGACACTGTGACCTGCAAACACAATATCATAAAGCTTAGTGGCATCATTATATAAAACAAAGTACCATCATAAAAACCAGAGGCCCAATGGGCCTGTATTACTCCCCTGTGATTGATTTTACATCAGTGACTTTCAAAGCTGGTGGAAATGACTTTTTTTAAACAGGTAAAAATGTGATTATGAACATGTGATGGGCTTTGTTGGAAGACTGGTTTACCCTACACCATCAGAACCTTTGTTGGAGGATTTAAGGCTAATATTTCAGGTCTAGATCATTCATTCTGATTCATTCTACTCTCCCTGCCCCTTCAGAAGAAAAACTAACATCATTTTTCATTTAAGGATACATGTAGTTCTATCAGAATATTATTTGATTTTTTTTTAGAATAATATTTGAAAAATAATTAGAATGTTATTCGGGCACAATTGAACTTCTATCAAAATGATGACATTAGTTTTATTTTTAGTCAACAGAAAATCAACAAAAGGGGCATAACTCCTATCAATATTAGAAATGTCACCAGAATGACAGACTAATTAAGGCCTCTTGGTGAGTCATGTATCACAATCCAAAAGGATGAATATTCGTTTATGAAATAAGGTTGAACCTGGTAATATGATGCTGCTTCAGGCGAGCCTAATGACAAAGCTTTGCAAGGCCTGCATAAACATTTGCAGGGCCACCAGATTTATACCAGAAATGAAACATTTAAAAAATGATAAACCGGTTGAACCGGATACGTGAAAGAGTCCTACTACTCCAGCCTGTGCCTAGAATTTTTAAGAATATTTCTTATCAGAGAAAGAGTGAAAGGCTTTCCAGAATGTCTAAAAAAATCAATCTTTCGAGAGGTTTTTAAGTAAAGGGACATAACTCCTTAGAAGGTGAAGATTCCAGAATACCATCCCCACGTCTTTGATGTGGGGCGTATAATCATGAAAAACCAAAATAAATTGCACCTAAAGATATATCTAGGTTATTGCTGGTGTGAACAAAATTTAATAAATCTTAGGCAAGCAGATAATTATCAGTACACTGGACAAAATTGATCAAATTGGGAATTTGAATTCGGGTATATGCATTACTTCTACTGAAATTGTTTTTCATCCAGAGTTTAAACGCCAGGTAACTGATGACGGGACATTATAGACCTATCCTCACCACCTTTTACCACTCAATTACTTACCACTGCCTTTTGTATGATCATAACCTTGTATTCTCATCACGTTTTTGGCGGTTAAGTCATACCCACACGAGTAACCATCTTCAAAATCACAGGTAAATGAAGGGTTGGGAACTGCAACATAAAATACAGTGCAAAAATTATCAAACTACATACAAATACAACTTTTTTATGCTTTATATGTTCGGATGAACCAGGTATATTGTACTTTGAGATTGATATTTATTTACTATCGGATATTTTAATGTTAACTCTTAAATGTTACTCATCTGAGTATTTCTTACATGCTCTGTTTCTTTTTCCTTATATTTCATTCACACATATAACGCGACTACATTCATATTGTAATCATTTGAAGAAGTTGCGATAGAAGAAGTTTTTTGTACTTTGTTTATAACGTCATTATTTTTGACGTCTTAAGTATGTGTACTCTATTTATGACATCACAAATAAACTCAGATCGCCTGAAGAGCCCGAAGAGGGGTTAAAGTAATAGCGAGATTTAGTCTTTGGTGATTTGTTTTATTTATAAATATGTAGCAGGGATGAAATTTAAATCTTTATAAAATTGCTATAATAGTGTTAAGTTATTATTTGTGTTTGTATCGTGTCCATTTAACAAAGAAATTACCGTGTCCTTGTATCGTATCCCATGTTGTGATCCTAAGTTGTACAGGTAAAGCTAGTGTGGTGTTTTGCTCGTTACGTATGTTGATACATTGGTGTTCCATATAGTGTTGGTTGTATAGGTATAAAGTTGTGGATCTGTTTTGATTGGTTGTTTCTTGTGGTCAGTTTGGCGTGTAATTCTTTGTATCTCTTGTTTTTGTGAGTTAGTACCTTTTCAGGACTCAAAGTAGACGGATGGACTTTTGAATGTAAGTGTTGTCTTTGATTACGGTGTGATGAAAACCTATTTTTTTATTTAAAAGTGTAATTAGTGTAATAACTAATGAAGTAAATATGATTTATTATTTATTAAATTAGAAATCATGAATATGTATAATTTTGGATTTTGTATGAATTGCAAGGTTGGCTTTGTAATATTGTTAAGGTCATGTAATCTTAATATATCGAGGGAAAGGTATGAAATTGATATATTATCAAGTTGTAAAAGAGTTTATGTTTAATTTAGTACAGTTGGTATATATAGTTGCTGTAGATCTACGATCGACTTTGATGCACTTATGTTTATGCTATATCGATCTAACTTATTAATAAATGTAGTTGTAGTTTTAATTCACATTTTCAAAAGAGGATTTATGGAATTAGTACAGTTGGTATATAAATAGTTGCTGTAGATCTACGATCGACTTTGATGCACTTATGTTTATGCTATATCGATCTAACTTATTAATAAATGTAGTTGTAGTTTTAATTCACATTTTCAAAAGAGGATTTATGGAATATAATCTGTAATATATGTTTACTTTTGTATCCAGTCAGATGTTGTATCGTAAAATATATTGTAAATCTGATGAAGCTCTAGTTGAGTATAATGGTAAAAATGATAGAAAGTTTGTTGTAAGAGTTATTTCCCTTGCATCGATAATGTGTGCTTGTGTGTTTTATGAATGTCTGTAGTTTGTACTGTACTTGTTACAGGATTTGTCATCGTCTACATCATGTCGAAATAAATGACAGATGAACAACAAGAGTTATATCTGTTGAATTTGATACACAGTAAATATAGAGCCCCTGCCACAAATACATGTATCAGCAGGCACTTTAAGCCCCCTTTTTTCTGAGGTTCTAATTTTCAATATTTTCAGGGACAATGTATTTCTGCGAAAATATGTAAGAGCTAAACTCTTCTCAATGATAAAGGAAATGATCGTGTGAAACACATAAACCCTTATTAAAAATAATTGGTACTTCTAGTGAAATACTAAGCCAACATAATTGCAATTTCAAGACAGCTTTTCAGTAATCAGAATAAATCAAATACATGACATTAATTATGCATATATGTCAACCTCTGAAACCTCCAATGAGGGAGATCTCCCTCAATCAACATTTCCAATGAGGGGGAAAGTGTGTGAAACACAACTGAAACTGCTTTGCTCAATTTATCTCTCCCTTTTTATGTATCAAAATAACTCCAAAAAGCATTCATTTGATTCAGACACACCTGTTATGATCATTACACACACTCTGCAGTAACTAGGAGATCATTTAACCACAGGATGTAGATTTTGAGTTTGTATGAGTTTTGACTTGAAATAGGGAGTTTCGAGGGAGATTGGTAAATTTTGGTCAAAATTAGGGAGTCTCCCTCCTAATGAGGGAGGGTTGACAGCTATGGACCAGAAGTTATGTTTTTGAAACATCAATGCTGAATATAAATGTATATACATGCATGTCTTATTGAATACATACAAATGTAGGCCTTCTATACTTATAGTGTAAGAAACACCTACTGTGTTCAGTTGGGACAAATGATATCTATTGGTCCCTACAATGTTAGATTTAAACAGTCACAGTTGTATTATTGTAATGGGCCTGCAGTGTTTCATTTAATCAAGATTGGTCCCTGTAGTGTTTGGAGGCTAACAAGTCAGTTTTAATAAATTACCATTTTTCACAATCAAGGTCATGTGGTAAGTTGTGCTAAAGTCTTCAAACAGTTTTTAACAATTAGTGAGCCCTTAAGCAATGATACTACTCAAAAAATGACTGTGGTAATAATTTGTGAACCGCTTTGAATGACCTATGAACTAGGTTGTGATAAAGCGGTATATGTAAGAACCTCAAATTATTGTTATAGAAGTCTTACCACACAAACTGAGTTCCTCATCATCCCCGTCCTCACATGTCGAGTTTCCATCGCATGTCAGTGACATTGGTATACATTTAGTCCCTGAGGCACATGCAAACATGTTGGCAGGGCAGGCTTAAACAAATAAAAGTCATATGAAACACAGAAGATAAAAACATATTAAATTCCAAGAAAGTCACTTTTCTTAATAAGAAAAATAAAATTATAGCATTAACTTCAGATTTGATTCCGTAAACCAGTGATCTCACCAAGTTTTGAATTGGATGGCCGTTTGAATGTTCATTTGCCATAGCATGACCTAAAAGCAGTTTATGTGTTCACAATTTTGACCAATCACAGCATCTTTATGTTTTATTACACGTGTATACTGCAATATATATGACATAGTAAAATGAGCCAGTTAATTATGTGATACACAAGTGAAAATATCAGTATATTCTGCTATTCGAGTGAAACATATATGGTAATCGATGGTAAACCATTAATTTTTTTATTTTTATTTAACAACAGACTGGGTATTCTGGGGACAACATAGGAAATAATGAGGGTAATATGTTCTTGACATGGTAGACTCAGTATTTACTTACCAATGCGTGGACAAGCGCCAGGTGTAACAACCACTTCGTCTATTCCGTACTGGTAATCGTAGTTATCATTGGTCACTCCGATGTAGAACCTGAAGGAGGACATATTCACCGGAATCTGGACAGGTGACCATTCAGTGTCAATGGTTGTGTGATAAGCTAGAATTGGGGCCGTACCTGGTGCCGCACTGACATCTTCCTGCAGGTATACCAGGAGCTTACCCTCCCCACCATAGCCAGGGTTTCCTGGGCTCATCATGTACATAAACGCGAGGCAGGAAGTAGGAGTTTCCATAGAGACAACAGGTGACAGCATCTCGGTCAAGTTACTTTTGGTACTGGACCTTGATCTGAAGAACAGATGAGATCCTGAAAAAAAAATCCATTATTCAAATTTATTTATTTAAATTAGCCCTATACTCTTAAAGTTCCATGTTTATACATGAATAAAAGATATAAACTCAACTGACTTTACAACAATTTTTAAACTAGTTTCAGAATCTTACATTAATCACACTTGTTCACTCAACTGGAAGTGCGCACAAGGTCTTATTACCAGAGGTTTTACCTGACAAAGTGATATTGACTGAGACCAAGTCAAATTTAATATCACTTTCTCACGGGCAGACCACTTTCTATTCACCAAAATGAAGGTATTTAGTTGTTATGTTAGATGCTAAATAATGGTTTAATCATCAAACAAGATGAAACGTAAGACAGTTGTAGGCAGGAAAGTATGGCAGTTGGCTGGGAGCATTGTGACATTACAATTGAACTGAGGCCATAAAGCAGTAACAGTATTAACTTACTGTTTCTAACAGTAACATCTAACTAATATCACAAATCACCGACCTCCAAGGGATTATATGATCCAACCAATGGGGTTAAAGGAAAAATTAGTGTTATGTAATATTATGAGAAAATTATAAAAACTCTTAGTTCTAAAGTAACATAACGGATTTCAATTTTTTAACTTATATCGTCCTCCATACCTCCAGCATGTGATCCAGGTTGTATGGTCCAACCATCTTCAAGCCAGTAGCCACAAGATAAGTCATTAAAACTACAGTTGGCCGAGGTTCCTGAAAATCAAAGTCAAACCTGAATAAAATGCTTCTTTGACTGCATGTGTTACCAATAGTTACCATTGACAAATTTAAAGGTTCCTTTTACTAAACATCCCCATACCACTGCCAAAAACTTTACTTAAGTGTTGGGAATCGTTTCTTTCAGGCTGACTTTAGCTTTGATAAATCGTTTCTAAAAGGAAATCATATATATATATACCTCATGGAACTTTTATAGTGAATATATATGTGTAGCAAAACAGGACTGGCTTGATTATCAGTATGCCATTTGGTAGGGCAATGTTCAAAAGATAAGATGATCCCCACCGGGTTTGAATCCTGGTCTGGCCATTACATTTTTCTTTCACAGATACAGGCCATTACGAAATATAGTATTAAAATGTTATGACAGGGTAATCCTCTTTACCCTAGGCAAAAATATCATTCCTTGACTGAAAGCTTGGACATCTCTGTCTAATCGGGTAGAAGCCCTATCCCAATCAGTTACATGTTATAGATTTTATAAAAAAAAAGTTATAAAAGAATGAATATCATACCTGAGCATGCGTCATCTTCTAAGCTTACAGAGCCCACAGCCACGTCTCCCGTACGCATATATCCTTTTTTGGACGAAAACGAGAATCCTGGTGAGGTGTTTCCGCTCGTAACTGTACAGAAGGTTCTCCAGGAATCTATGCGATAATCCTTTTGTCTCATAACCATAGACTGATCTCCAATATTAAACTGGAGTTCTGAATCTCCTTCACCGTAAAATTGATACATCACTTTGATGTGCTGTCCCGCAGTAAATCCAGCCGTAGTATTGAATTCGACCGTTGTTATGTCTCCTGGCTCACCGTAGGAAGCATCAGCATACATAACATTAACTGGAAAAATAGGCTTATATTTACGCAGAATAAAAATTAAGCACAATCAAGATTTCGGAATAGTTCAAATCAAGCGCTACACAAAATGTTTATGAAATGGTACTTCTTCAGACTTACAATTATGTATATTAAATAATATGTTTTGTTTCCTTCCCTTAATATTTGTTGTTCAATATATCATTTTTTTCATTTAATTTTAACATATATGACGTCATGTGACAATGATCTGCACCCTCATCTACCTTTATGACGCCATGATTCAGGTTTGTAGTTATAGAAAAGATACATGATCAGCACCGAGCAGATTAAAACTACAAAGTACCTTGCTGGTCTCCTGATGAATTGTTAGACGAGTGATTGTAACCTCGAAGCTCCCATTGATACTCCTCGTCTTCCACGCAGGGAGACACGACAAAGTCACACTCAAATAAATTGTCAAAGTCACAGAATTTGGACTGCATGATACCCTCTGCCAGGAAATTAAAAACGTCATTAAATATGTATCAAATTATACGTTATATTGTACAACAATGCTACTATGGTAATAATTAACTTTGTCATGCGCAGAACACAAACAGTAATAGAATGTAATATCAAAGTTTTACTTTATAAAAAAATTCCTTTCTTGATGCACATCTAAATATGATGTAATCTCACTGTGCCAAATAACAAAAAAAATCCAACAAAGAGTTAAGGATGAGATGTGCTAATAATGTTTCTGGAGCAGAAATTTAAGTTTTTAAGGGACATAACTCCAGTGTAAACAGTTGAATTGCAATTTTTTTTCTTCATGCACTTCAACAGTTCAGGAAGAGTTGCGCTTACAAGGATCATGAACCGATGGATGGATTCACAGATGTATGGACAGGACGGTGATTGAGGGGGGTATTAAAACTTGATTCTATGTGGACAGATTGGCACAGATGCTGCACCACATAAATAAGGTCACCTGCCCAGTTATACTGATTGAGCCCTCTCAACCTCTGTTTTTTTTCATGTAACCAGAAAACAACCTTGTCTATTATCAAAACTTGGAAGGACTCAAGGGCCATTTTGATTTGTTACAAAAGAAACATTTTTGACAGGTTTCTTTGCTATGTGGTCAACTGTAGCTCTTATAGTCTGGTAGGTATAATAGATTTTATTTTATTTTGAAATTTTAGATATAAATTTCAGTTTTAATGTTTTACATTATCAATCAATTTTAGATACTTTATTTTGAAATTTTATATCATCAGTGTGATAATGTAAAAGCAAAATAAAATATCAGAAATTCAAAATGCAATAAAATCGGTTCTCGCAGCTATAAGGTCAATGTCATCATCGAAGAAAAAATGTTTGAAATGTAATGTACAAAACATACTTACACCTGTCCAAATGCGCAGGTAAAAAATGTTTGACATGTGAATAAATTAGTACTTACTCTGACACATGTCTTTGCTCATTTCAACATCATCCAAATAAATGTATACAGGTTTGTTTTGCTCACGCTGTTCGTGTATGAAAACAATCGAAACATTTCCCTGCAGCGAGTCGAGACTGACACACATGAATCGCCACTCATCCGTACTGGACTTTGTCATCACCAGTACTTCCACTAGGTCTGAGCGGCTGCTTTGGATGTAGTGCAAGGTGTTGTTTTCTTGAATATCCTTTCCATAAAGAACTCCCACTTTAAACACTGAGTTACCTCCCTTGGCAAAGAAGTAAGAGAAACTTTTGTAGTTGGTCGCATCAAAAAATGGTGTGACTAACCATGCTGCTTGGCCTTGTCTAATGTAGGATCCATCAATATAGGACAGAAAGGCTGAGCCTTGGGGGAAAAAGCAGAATAGTTTTTTAAGCATGTGTGAGAAAAAAATATGTCGACACATTTGGATATTGCTACATTGTATTAATAAAATTAGAACATCAGCAATTTCATTTCTATGGCTCAAAAGGACTTGGGATGTTATGGGTCATTTTTGGCCTCATAAAAAAATAAAAAATAAAATTGAATTTATTTACCAATTTCTGTTATAAACATCATATTGGTTAATTCAATGGGTACTTCCCAGTACAGGTTTTTTCCAATGGGCATGCATACATTGTAGATGCCCTGACATAGCAATGAAATTGCATTGCTTTGTATGCAGAAATAGCCTCCACAAATATTGTGACAAACAAAAATTCCTTTTTACAAATAAATATGTCAACTATTTATTTGTTTGTTGGAGGCTTTTAAAACTTACCGTACATTGTATCTCCTAAACCAGTTGTCAAATGAATTTGAAATTTCATGATTGCATACTTCATTTATTCAACTAATACATTATCCTCAATGAGGCCGGAAATGACCCATAACACCCCTAGTCCTTTGAAGAAATAGCTACTATACTGCTGCAGTGTTCACATAAAGATAGATCAACTTATAATAATAATACAGCATAATTCTTTTTTCACAGTAAAATGAGACTTAGCAGCTGGTATAACAAATTTAAATTGTAAAATTGATTTTTTTAACAGCATTTGTATATATATTCAACAGTTGGTTTTCAAGCGATCTGGGTCAGATATACAGCTGAATACACAAAATAACCTAAAAATAGTTAATTTCGCATATCATATCCAATTTTACAAAATATGTCACTCAGTATTACTTGGGTGTTGCCTGCTGTAAATTAAAAAAAAATCAACAAAGAACCATAACTCCATAAAAAAGGGTTGAAAAAAAATTACCTGGATGCACAACATAAGGAGGTAGTTATCATTTCTGGAAAGTTTCGTTGAAATTGGCAGCATAGTCTTGGAGGAGTTGTCAGGACAAGTATTTTTTAACAAAGGGCCATTACTCAAAAAAAGGGACAGATTGAAAAAATAAAACCTGGATATACATCATCATGTGGTAGTTATCATAGGTGAAAACTTTCATTGAAATTGGCCCAGAAGTTTTGAAGCTTTAACCTTTCACCACTGCAGACCATAATGGACTCATCCATATCAATACATGGTAGAGTCTACTAAAGTTACCTAGGGGTGAAAAAAGGGTTAACAGAGGTTCGGTGTGATATACTGTGCCAGCTGGTCTGACTCCTCCCAGTTAGACAACTCCTAGCCACAGTGATGGACTCTATGATGGTCTCTGTAGCCCTTCATGTCTTGGGTTTAACAATATAAATTCATGTAAAAGGTACTAATTATTAAAGTTCTTGATAAAATTCATCACCTCCTTTTTGTGGGCTTGCCTAATCACTTACCTGCATTAGCTTTGTCATCTGAATCCATGCTTGTGTGATCACGGTATGGTGAGTAATACATCATCGTAGGCATAACTCGTGTCCAGTTAAACCCGTAGTTGTAGCCATTGGTAACGGGCACATAATCACAATTAGTCTCGTCAAAGTCACACTCAATTGGTCCTGAAAACAACCCAAATATATTTATCATACAGATGTCGTCTTGAGTGGTGAATCATATACAGAGTTTTCTCTGTTAAGTCATTCACCCATCAAGACACATTTGAACCCTTCCAATTCAAAGTTTGGAATAGTTCATTATGAGATTTCAGGGGTGAATGAGTTAATTATTTTCTGCTCAATTCAGATTTTGTCTAAACTGACCAAGAAACCAGCACTTTATGAAAATAAATGTGCAAAAAAATGAAGAGAAAAATAAAAGATTTTCGTCTTTCATTGTAGAATTGATAACTGTATAAGTGTTAAATCGTTTTAAATCGATCACAAGGCTGACATTTTTGCATCAGCAATAATTCTGAAATCTAAATATTTTATAAATCTATAGTATATAAACAAAATCTTTTCATGTAAATATATTAAACTTATTTTACTCAACGCAAAAAATGAGTATTTCCAAACAGTGGAAAGTTTCCACTTTTACAGCTAACAGAGTACTTTATAATAGGTACCTGGGCAGGAGTCTCGACTCACTGCAACGCTGTCAATACCCATATCACCCAGTATTCCGTCACCACGCGTAGCAACAAAGGACAGCGACAGCGAGGTTCCTTCTGAATAGCTCGCAAGACTAACGCAGGTCTTTTTCCATTCATTTCCCACTTCACCCGACCCTGACCATATGGTCACGCTGTTGAGGTTGGCTTCTAGGCTACCAATATGATCGCCATACATGTGAGAGTAGAATGACAGGGACTTGAATCCGTTCGAAAGGAATGATGGGAAAGATAAAGTCGCCACATCGTCTTTGTATCCCTTAGATGCTTCCACATACATATAGTAGCCTAGGGACAAGATAGTAGCAGAGAATTTTGATATTCAAAACATATATTACAGACAGAAAAAAAAGAAATTAAACAAAAGAAAGAGAAAAAGCAGAGTTTTCATATATGTGGTTGTAGTTCTGAAATAACTGTATCTACGACATTGCTTGAAAAATATGTAGATTTAATCATAAGTTGAAAGGTTGCAGTATGTATCACAACCAGCAGGACCCGAGTCAGGTGTGACAGGTAGACAAGGTTTTATTTTTACCTACCTAAATCAATCTTTATTTCTGACATCCTTTCTTTCTGACATAACAGAGGTTGGGGAAAATAACTGTTTCTTTCTAACATATCTCAATTTTGACCTACCTACATTAATGTTTCTTCTGACAAAGCTGAGTAGAGGGAGACAACCTTTCTTTAAGACAGACCTGAGTTGAGGGAGACAATCTTTCTTTTAGACATACCTGAGTTGACTGTATCTACGACATTGCTTGAAAAATATGTAGATTTAATCATAAGTTGAAAGGTTGCAGTATGTATCACAACCAGCAGGCCCCGAGTCAGGTGTGACAGGTAGACAAGGTTTTATTTTTACCTGCCTAAATCAATCTTTATTTCTGACATCCTTTCTTTCTGACATAACAGAGGTTGGGGAAAATAACTGGTTCTTTCTAACATATCTCAATTTTGACCTACCTACATTAATGTTTCTTCTGACGAAGCTGAGTAGAGGGAGACAACCTTTCTTTAAGACATACCTGAGTGGATGGCGACAATCTTTTTTTTCAACATACCCGAGTCAGGAGGAGCTAAACAACCTTTCTTTTAGACATACCTTAGTGGAGGGAGACAACCTTTCTTTCAGACAGCCCTTAGTTGAGGGAGACAATCTTTCTTTAAGACAGACCTGAGTGGAGGGAGCCAACCTTTCTTTCAGACAGACCTTAGTTGAGGGAGACACCCTTTCTTTAAGACAGACCTGAGTTGGGGGAGACAACCTTTCTTTAAGACATACCTGAGTTGAGGGAGACAATCTTTCTTTTAGACAGACCTGAGTTGAGGGAGACAATCTTTCTTTAAGACAGACCTGAGTGGAGGGAGCCAACCTTTCTTTCAGACAGACCTGAGTGGAGGGAAAAAACCTTTCTTTTAGACATACCTGAGTGGAGGGGGAGAACCTTTCTTTTAGACATACCTGCGTGGAGGGAGACAACCTTTCTTTTATACATACCTGAGTGGAGGGAGACAACCTTATTTTCAGACAGACCTGAGTGGAGGGAAAAAACCTTTCTTTTAGACATACCTGAGTGGAGGGGGAGAACCTTTCTTTTAGACATACCTGCGTTGAGGGAGACAACCTTTCTTTAAGACAGACCTGAGTTGGGGGAGACAACCTTTCTTTAAGACATACCTGAGTTGAGGGAGACAATCTTTCTTTAAGACAGACCTGAGTGGAGGGAGAAAACCTTTCTTTCAGACAGACCTGAGTGGAGGGCGACAACCTTTCTTTTAGACATACCTTAGTGGAGGGAGACAACCTTTCTTTTAGACATACTTGAGTTGAGGGAGACAACCTTTCCTTAAGACATACCTGAGTGGATGGCGACAATCTTTTTTTTCAACATACTGAGGGAGACAACCTTTCTTTTAGAAATATCTGAGTGGAGGGAGACAACCTTTTTTTTAGACATACCTGAGTTGAGGGAGACAAGCTTTCTTTTAGACAGACCTGAGTGGAGGGAGAAAACCTTTCTTTCAGACAGACCTGAGTGGAGGGAAAAAACCTTTCTTTTAGACATACCTGAGTGGAGGGGGAGAACCTTTCTTTTAGACATACCTGCGTTGAGGGAGACAACCTTTCTTTCAGACAGCCCTTAGTTGAGGGAGACAATCTTTATTACAGACAGAAAAAAAAAAATTAAACAAAAGAAAGAAAAAAAGCAGAGTTTTCATATATGTGGTTGTAGTTCTGAAATAACTGTATCTACGACATTGCTTGAAAAATATGTAGATTTAATCATAAGTTGAAAGGTTGCAGTATGTATCACAGCCAGCAGGACCCGAGTCAGGTGTGACAGGTAGACAAGGTTTTATTTTTACCTGCCTAAATCAATCTTTATTTCTGACATCCTTGCTTTCTGACATAACCGAGGTTGGGGAAAATAACTGTTTCTTTCTAACATATCTCAATTTTGACCTACCTACATTAATGTTTCTTCTGACGAAGCTGAGTAGAGGGAGACAACCTTTCTTTAAGACAGACCTGAGTGGAGGGAGCCAACCTTTCTTTCAGACAGACCTTAGTTGAGGGAGACAACCTTTCTTTCAGACAGCCCTTAGTTGAGGGAGACAATCTTTCTTTTAGACAGGCCTGAGTTGAGGGAGACAACCTTTCCTTAAGACATACCTGAGTGGATGGAGACAATCTTTTTTTTCAAAATACCCGAGTCAGGAGGAGCTAAACTCCTTCCAACATACCGAGACAACCTTTCTTTTAGACATACTTGAGTTGAGGGAGACAACCTTTCTTTAAGACAGACCTGAGTGGATGGAGACAATCTTTTTTTTCAACATACCCGAGTCAGGAGGAGCTAAACTCCTTCCAACATACCGGAGTTGTAAATTACATGTAAGGCAACTTTTTTTTTCAACATAGCTGAGTTAGTGTCAAGGGGAGACAAGGTTTTCTTCAGACCTACCTACATCAGGAGCTAACCCTTCTTTCCAAACTATTCCTCCCCTTTTTTCTAAACTATTTAAGACCGCAAAGACAATCATTCCTTTTGACAAGTTTTTTTCTGATATAACTGAGTTAGAGAAGACATTCTTTGCTAAAAACCCAAAGTTAGGAAAGACAACCTTACCTGCTGAGGTCGTAAAGAAAACGGGTGTTGTCGGTTTTGGAGAAGAATATGAGCAATAGCCAGAAGATATCTGAATTTGATCCAGGGCTATATCACTTGTGAAGCTAGAACCAGTGTATGCCTGTATGGAGAGCTGTATATAAACGAAAAACAATATAATTTCTTTAGAGTATCTAACGTTTCACACAAAAATATACTGCTGCTTCACATTGCTACGCTAATGTAGCAGTCACGGTAATAGAGTGGAAATATCACACAACTCCAAGGTTTGTCCAATGGATTTATCACCAGAATAACGAATAATAAACCCTATAATATGAAATACACATACAATTAACACATGTTCATAGTACGCTCACACTACATTCACTCCGTCATTCCTATTGAACAGTTCTGTAAATAATTACATGTATTCCTTATGAAAAATTACAAAAATATCACACAAAACTGTTTAGCAAAATTCTAACAATTCAAAGAATTAACCGTTTTACATATTTCATTCTTCATAGATTTGTCTTACCAGGTATATTCATAAATTTGTCTCTAACTGTACAGCTCTATTTCAATAAAACATAGAAAAACACATACAACAAGGCTACCTCTTCTACACATAAACTATAGTCATTTTAATTACAAAGCAAATGTCATAATGCAGTATTCTCTAACACATGTCATAGATGCATTTATCATATACTTGTCCGTGATATAGGTTATTTTGCATGTGTGATATACTGATAGAAGTTAGCTATGCATAGGCCATATCCGCGCAGCATGTGCCATATCCATTTTACTTCGGGTTCAACACTTTTCAGAAAAATCACACCTCAAAACTTGCAGTGTATATATCCTTCTTTATTTTGCTTTTCTGTTTATTGTGTTTTATTTAAGGTAGAATGTGATTATATAGTTAAGCTCCAGAAATACACATTTTCTGCGTGTTCTATTTGTTATTGCAATTTTTTTTTAATCATTTTATAGAGCACTGATGATAAAAAGGTTACCCTATGATCATTTCTATATCCTATTCCTATTCAGCCTGTCACTCCCATATCTGCCCATGGGGCGGAAATGGTCATGATGACCTCTTATCACGTACATTGTACCACACAGCATTTGTGTGATCAGAAATTGACATTGCAATAAACTCTTTTAACAATAGCCTGATTTTGTGATACTCGTAGCAGTCATAAGATTTCATTGGGAAACAGTAACTAAATAAATAATCATTAAATAAATACTACATTCATTAGAGTATATGTGTGACAGTGCCTAGGGTCACCCCGAGGATATCACTGTCACCCAGGGCCAAGCTGAGGGTGACAGTGCCAAGGGTCACCCCGAGGATATCACTGTCACCCAGGGCCAAGCTAAGGGTGACAGTACCGGGGTCACCCCAAAGAAATCACTGTCACCCAGGGCCAAGCTGAGGGTGACAGTACCGAGGGTCACCCCGAGGATATCACTGTCACCCAGGGCCAAGCTAAGGGTGACAGTGCTGAGGGTCACCCGGAGGTTATCACTGTCACCCAGACAGAAGCTGAGGGTGACAGTGATATCCAAGGTGTTGACCCTAAGGCACTGATGTCACACTCTAATGAATGTAGCATTTATTTAATTACCGAAAGTCAATAATTAACAAAATTTTCATATTTTTAACAAATATTGTATTTCCATCAACAAATATAACAGTGAACTATTCAAGATTTGACAATAAAACAAGTGTTATTAACACCGGAAATGTCATGGCCGTTATCATAATTTAATTGTTGATATTTACGATCAGGTTACCGAGAATCGTCTTTATCATCATCAGTGATGGTGTCCTTGTGATTCACTCCCCCTGAAACCTCATCTTTTTTTAATATCTACCAAAACAGCTTTGTACATGTTCCTAAATTTGAGGGTACCACGCTGCTTGCTTTGAGAATCCTTATCCGTCAATAGTTTATGACTTTATCCAAATCACCCAACTTGACAAATTGTACCAATTTTAACTTCATTGAGTAGACGGCTGATTGTTTATTCCAGGCTACCACGTGAATGAAGCACCTGGAAATCTCACTTATCTCAACAGTATATCGTTGTACTAATCAACGGCGAGTAAAACACGGTAGTGACATGGAGTGCCTGTTGACCTACATGTGCGATGAACCACAATGCAAAAAACATGGCGGCAGAAACGAACCGTACGCACATCTTCTTTGCGCGGTCACTATTTTGCACTGTCACACACACTGTCACTTGTTACTAGGGCGTTGGCAAGCACCCTTCCATTGCAGTTCATGAGTAAGATGAACTATTGATAGTGCAGTTCATGAGTAAGATGAGCTATTGATAGTGCAGTTCATGAGTAAGATGGGCTATTGATAGTGCAGTTCATGAGTAAGATGAGCTATTGATAGTGCAGTTCATGATTCAAATGACATATTGATATTGTAATTCATAATTCAAATGACATATTGCTATAATTGTAGTTCGTTACTTAGACATCAGCTCTTGATAGTGCAGTTTATGATTCAGATGACCATGTTGATACCAAAGTTCATAATTCATCATTGAACATGTTTTATAATTACCTTGTATCTGAAGGACTCATATATTGACACCTGTGCTGAATACCAGAAGTTACTATGACTTCTACTAGCACTCCAGTGAGTTGTGTACCGATACCCGGACTGCTGGTAGGTCCTAATATTTAAGGAACCCATGGCTGATCCATACATGTGGTAACGGAAAGTCAGGCAGGAATAACCTAGTAATTAAAGTTAAAAAACAATGTAAGAATAAGCAAACTAAAGGATGCATGAGTGTTATTTTTTATGACAGCCTATCATACGTGTGGCTTTCAAATGTCAACAACTTCTTTTTCCCACATTGCCGTACAAAGTTTCAAGTGTTAACGGAAAGTCAGGCAGGAATAACCTCATTTTGGAAATCCTTTACTGACTTATAAAATTTTAGCATATTAGCTGGTAGTTGTTTGGATGAAAAAATGATTGAAACAGTCTTTACTGACATTCATAAAGACTGAAACAGTAAATCTCTCTTTACTGACATTCATAAAGACTGAAACAGTAGATCTCTCTTTACTGACATTCCTAAAGACTGAAACAGTAGATCTATCTTTACTGACATTCCTAAAGACTGAAACAGTAGATCTTTCTTTACTGACATCCATAGGGACTGAAATAGTAAACCTCTCTTTACTGACATTAATAAAGACTGAAACAGTAGATCTATCTTTACTGACATTCAAAAAGACTGAAACAGTAGATCTCTCTTTACTGACATTCATAAAGACTGAAACAGTCAATCTTTCTTGACTGACATCCATAAAGACTGAAACAGTAAACCTCTCTTTACTGATATCCATAGGGACTGAAACAGTAAACCTCTCTTTACTGATATCCATAAAGACTGAAACAGTAGATCTCTCTTTACTGACATTCATAGGGACTGAAATAGTAAACCTCTCTTTAGCAACATCCATAGGGACTGAAACAGTAAACCTCTCTTTACTGACAAAAGGACTGAAACAGTAAATCCCTCTTTACTGACATCCTTTGGGACTAAAATAGTAAACTCTGTTTACTGACATCCATAGGGAATGAAACAGTACCGGTAAATCTTTCTTTACTGACATCCAGAAGGACTGAAATAGTAATCCTCTCTTTACTGACATCCAGACGGACTGAAACAGTAAACCTCTATTTACTGACATCCAGAAGGACTGAAATAGTAATCCTCTCTTTACTGATGACCAGAAGGACTGAAATAGTAATCCTCTCTTTACTGACATCCAATAGGACTGAAATAGTAAACCTCTCTTTACTGACATCCAGAAGGACTGAAATAGTAATCCTCTCTTTACTGATGACCAGAAGGACTGAAACAGTAAACCTCTCTTTACTGACATCCAGAAGGACTGAAATAGTAATCCTCTCTTTACTGACATCCAGACGGACTGAAACAGTAAACCTCTATTTACTGACATCCAGAAGGACTGAAATAGTAA